TGCTCCGGTGGATGCTTATACTTCAAGATCGCTGATTCGCTCATTTCGCTGTCAATCAAAAAGGGACTCAGCCTCAGACAGATCATCCAATCATCATGCAGAAGCCGAGCGTCCGGGCCAGCCCACTGCCCCATAGACCCCCAGAGACGCTGAGCGTCCGATGGGCGGGACAAAGCCCAGCATTTAGCCAATGACCGTCTAGTTTCGCTGCAGTGGAACAATCCACTCTGTGCTTCCCCATTGAAGTCAGTAGACGCTCGGCGTCTACACTGTGTAAAGCACTGTGGCGCTGCGGGGATGAATGAGAAGGAAGTCGTGTCGGTTACCTGTGATAAGTAGCTGATTCTGAACAAAAGATGAACGTGTTCTAACGCATATTTAGTCAATGAAATGTACACACAACAGTACATATTTGACCACTTATTTTGTTGACATTTTAGGGGAAGCTGAGCTTCCCTTGCAGTCTTAGAGCAATCACCACTGGAATACACTATTGGTTTTCAGCTCAGTTGAACAGCTACAACGGTATAACAAAACCAAGGGCCTTAAAACCTCAAATGTTACATATTGTCAAGGTTGCTAGGCAACAACTTCATTAAAAGTTACCTTTAGTTTTTTGCTATAAAGCCTCCTAGTCTGACTTTTCACTACAGAAGCTTTGAGTCATATGTCAGAGTTTTTGAACTTGCCAGCCCAGGCACAGTATTAGGAGTTGTTACACCCACATAACCACGTTTACCTGTAGATCCAACTGAACCATGCTGAATCGATGAAGAAGGAAAAGTGGGGACAGAGGAGGAGCTGGAGTCTGGGGTCAAAAACTAGAAGAGCTTCTGGTTGGGGACAGAGATCGAGGGATAGACGACACGATCATATAACAGTCTAACAATTAGCTGAGCCTCACTGGCTTTAAATATGATTGACATTTAGGTCCAAGAACACTGGAAAGAGAGTAAATGATGAACCCCAACAATCTGTTGAACTTGTGATGAATGAAAGGAACATTTCGCACGGTTATTAAATCAAATTGTGTTTAATTTAATCAAATTATCAGAATTAATCAACGGTTTCATATTCACATTCATTTTTACTCTTTAGTCTACATTCATCAGTTGGCTATGTCACCTCTATTCTTCTGACTCACAATACCAAAAATGTGAATTTATTATGTTTTAAGTTATGACCACTGAATAACTTTAGGTTTATCAAACAACTTGAGTTTTTATCAGTATTTTCATCTTTAAATTTACTGTCACTCCTCATGTATCCCTGCTTGAACACAGGGTATTGAACGTTCAGCACTGTGAGTAAGTTTAATAAGCAACAAAAATGACAGAAAATTCATCAGAAGAAATGAATTCCAAATGTGTTTCTTAAGGCAGAATGAATATTGTACTACTGTTAACCCAAGAGTGGACCTGTAGCACGAGACCTAATCTTATTGCTCGTTAAAGTACAGTAAATGCATCTAACAAATGCATCCGGCATTTAGATTATGTATTTATTCTTAGCAATTTTTACACTTTCTAAGCTGCTGATAGTTGTGATAGTACTGCATGTGCATTACACAACACAATGTGGGGTTTTAAAGGCTGAATTTACCAGGGGATGTGCAAATATCTCCTCCACCAGCATCATTCTTTATTCTGTATTTTAAATTTTTTTTTTTTATATTTATATCATGAATCAATCTTTAATTATGAGCTAGCTTTCCTTTTGCCTGTGGCCCACATTAGTATAATAACAATGAGCTTATTGAATCGTGTTTATAACCTACAGCATTATGGAATAATAAGAAAAGCAGAGGAGAGAGAGGAAGGATGTGGGGTGGTATAGAGAGGGGAAATATAAAGAAGAAAAGGAACCAACAGTTAAAAGGGAAACAAAGAATGAATGAGATGAAGAAGAAAAAAATGAAGAAGTAAAAGGAGAGAGGAGGAACAGGGAGGCAGAGGAGAGAGGGAGGAAAAAGAGGAAAATGAACAACATGACTGTGGTTGCTGATGTAAATCTCCCTCAGGTTAAAACAAGATGATAATTAAAAATGTACCACAGGGTCACACTGTGACTGTGTGAGTGTTAGTGTGTGTGTGTGTGCATATGTGTCTTACTGTGCAGCCTTTATTGCTGTAGGTGAGATTGTGTGTGTGTGTGTGTGTATGTGTGTAGCGGGGGTGAAGCTGCAGTGCCCATTAAAAGGTGTCCCTGCTGCAATCAGTGTACAGAGGCCTTAGGGCCTATTTGTTACTACATCAATCTGGAGTTAATGGAAACACACAGCACACAAACACACAAACACACACACACACACACACACACACACACACACACACACACACACACACACACACACACACACACACACACACACACGTACACAGATCCAAACACATTTCTGCCTACAGTGCAAACATTGTCAAAGAGACCGCTGAACAGCAGGACACACACATGAATACAGGCACGTATGTACTTGAACACAAACACACACAAAAACAAAGACAAGCACACACACACAGCTGGCAAGGAAGCCAGCCAACTGGGCCCACAGCAGAACAACACACACTGTTTTGTACACAAGAAAATCCTAATGAGGTCCCTTCAGTTCAGACATTCTTGTCTCCTTGTTTCATTCTTAGATTTGTTCATCAGACCTTTCTTGTTGTATAAAACAGCTTATAGGTTTGTCTTCACGTTCCCAGCAGAAACTTAATTTCCTCTTGCTTTCAAATTAGTGCTAACGGAGCTAAACTGACAACTCTGAGGTTGATGTAAGTTGCCAATCGAAACATCCTTTACTCTCAATCTGAAAATCACCCAGTGAAGACAAATCAAAGTGAAAAGACTAAATTTGAAAATGTCATGCTTTTGACTGTCTGCCAGTTCTCATCAGTAGATAAGGCGCGCTGCAGCGAGTCCTGAGCGGACTCTGTAAATGTTTTAGCTCAAATTAAATTGGATTGAGTACATATCTGCTCATAAGTCACTGTTAATCGCTGACTAGAGGAGATAAAAGAACAAAAACGCAGCGGGACTGGAATGGGTAGAGCGCACACAGGCAGAGAGCAGGGGGCCAGCAGAGCGGCGCAGTGCTCACAGAGGCACCATCTTTCAGCTGTCTGACCCAAGTCACTGAATCCCTACCAGCTCCAGGCTGCTCTGTGGATGAACCTGACCTCTGACTTACCTATAGACACAGGAAATGTCCCTACAGCATTCAGCAAAGTATTTGTTGGCAGATCATGTGACACCTACGCCTGCGCCAAAGGAATACATAATCACTACGAAAGAAGTGACGGTAAAGCAAGTTTTCCAACACCAGTCAGGGAAGGATGCCAATCTACTGCTGGTCCAGTATCCCCAGTTATTACATTTATATTGAACTACTCCACAGCTCATCATTATATCCAATGACAAAGCTCGGTGCCAAAGCAGGAGCTAGTGTACCCTTTATGTAGTGAGGCAAAATGGAAGAGTGTAGAGGTCGAGGTGGTGGATGGGGGCGCAGTGAATCTGACTTTAATGTGGGAGACCACAGTTTACATTTTGTTACATATTTTCAATTATATCTGCCTTCTCATTAACAGTGACCGTAATTGTATCATATTTCATATAGACTTAACCAACTTAATCAATTCAGATGCCTATAACTTTCATCACAGTTTATATACCATAAACATGATTGTGACCAATCTGAACCATACTGTCGTTGCCAGGCACGGAACTTGAAGAAAGAAATCGTTTTTAAAGATATTTTTTTTGGGGGGGGGGGGGGGGGGTGGGGGGGGGGGGGGGGGGGGGGGGTTGACTCGATTCAGCATTCAGTGTTGAGGAAGCCAGGAAACGTGGAGAGAGAAGGGCTTGAGCTGCAACAAAGGTCCTCCTGCCAGGAGTTGAACTGTGGATGTTATGATGGTACGTCATTAGGCTACTGGGGGGGGGGGGGTTGCCGAATTTTATGGTTTTGCAGAATCACCAAATAACATTCTTCACTGTGGGTGCAAAAACATGCATGTTAGCAGAACTTTTTTGGGTTATGTGGGAGATTTGGACACCTTTCCTTGAATAAATGGGACACAATCTTGGGACACAGTCACTATTTCTCTTAATACAATAATTCTCTTTAAATTAAAGCTATAATATATTATAACTGCATTACATTAAATCCATAGCTACAATAGTTCATATAAGTTTTAACTAATCATTTGGGGTCTACCACCTGGTCTTTCATTGCAAAAAAGGTCTTGCTCCACCTATGGGATGATCATGAATGGAAAATTCAAATCAGCCAAATCTGTGTGGCATTGGCAGAAAGAAAAGAGGTGCCTCTTCCACGCACAGGGTCAAGGTGGAATTATAGTTGTGGGGCTTTCGTGGAACAACGCCATATGCGCCCCCTTAGAAAATGTACTGACAATGGTGGCTATGGAGCTATCAGAACAGTGACTCGTCAACTTGGGCAACTTTTTCTCTCCTACAAGTTTAAGATGCTGGTGGAGTTCATTGAGAGTGAGGACAACTTGAAGCAAATTGCAACACATGTAGCAAATCCATCTGCACTGTAGGCCTCCTTGATGCAACCCCCCACTCTGTATCCCAGTGATTGAAGGATGCAAATGTGGCAATTGCACAAAATAATGTAATATTCAGTAACAAAACAAGGTGAACCTTCCCACTGTCAATTGTATAAGTGAAAAGATTTGTGTTTTTCTTTCTTTTAGCATTTCAGTGACCCTTGCATCAAGTAAAATTCCAGCTTCAGGGTTTACACCTAAGGGTCACGCTATAGTTGTACTTGAGATGACCACCTCTGTTGTGACAGGGCAAAATTTGAAGTGTCCATGGCAGTGTCCCGGTAGGGCACAGAAATGCCACGCCATGAAGAAAAATCCACAGAAATGAACACTTCACACCAAAGATGGAGACATTTTTAAAATGAGGACCTCAAGGATTACCACTTAATTCTTAGAATAAATAAATAGAGAGGAGGTGTTGGTTCTTACCAGGTGTGATTTCTATCACTGTGTCTTGCCTCTCTGGGGGGAAAAGGACCTTGGGAGGCTGAGTGGTTTGGAGAGCTGTAAGAGAAACAGAGCGAGAAAGATAGACAGAGGGTAAGATTAATTATCAGAAGTGAGTTAGAGTTTTAAACTAATGAGCTTTGGTTCTGGTGGATATAGCATCTCATTATGGGCTCATCATTCCTATATAACAAATCCTACATATCTAAAAACCACCAAGGTACAGGAGAAAACCCACTTTATTTTTCAATTAACAGACACATTCATCATATCCATCCAAGTATTAATATGTATCACTATGTCTTAATTCTTGAAAAAGAAAAGTTATAACATTGAGTGTTTCAGTCATTCACTATGGCAGGCGGCACCTCCAAATGTCAATAGGAGGTATTCTTTTTTTCAATCAAGACAAAACAAAACTGAACCCAACCTCTGCTTTATGTAGCAGTTCTGCTTGGATAAAGGATTGGAGAGTGAGAAATACATATAGAAAATGCAACATATAACAATGTAGGTCTGAGATTTGGGTTAGCCTGAAGAACACACTTTCGACGTGGCTGTAGAGCTGCACAGTTAGACTGTTTTGTGAGGAGAAATCCAGGTAGAGATCTGACCTTTGCTCTACAAATTGTTCACTGCCCTACAGAATCACAAAGCCAAATATAAAGAGACTGGAGAGACTGACTGTCACAGCTACGAGACGCTGCATCAGCCACAGAGGAAGCTCATTGTACACTTGTCTCATCTAATGATTTCTTTCCTCCTTCTGTCTGTCTCTTTGTGGACAAACAAGACGACTGACTGTGTTTCTACTCTGATGACAAACAGACGCTCTCTGCCTCCACCTGAAGCACCTTTCAATTTCACCTCAATGGACTCTGAGCACCAATGCTTGTAGCTGTCCAACACCTTTCCCCTCTCTGCCTCAGAGTGTCTAATAATCCTCTGGTGTGTTGCAGTATTTCCATTCTACTTTGAAGATAGAGTACATGCAACTTGTCCTGTGTCTGAGTTTGGTAAGTCATTTCTGGTGTAAACATGACATTGAAGCAGGTAGTGGAGAACTACAGAACAGAAATTAATTTCACATATTTTAGCCATGGTTGCTGTATGGCAATGTCAGTCTGTCATTCAGTCTGTTGCTTGTCCAGCACTTTGTTCCAGCTGAAATATCTCAAAACTATTGGATGGATTTCCATGAAATCTGAATGCAGACATTTATGGTCCCCAGATGATGAATCCTCCATGGTTAAACTGATGTATCACTCTTATACAAAGTGCTGTGCAATTTGCCTCTAATTCACCCAGACACACTGAGGGCAGCAAGCTACCATGCAAGGTGCTGGCCATACCACCAGGGGGTCCTGTGTCTTGCCCAAGGACGATTTGACATGTGGACAGGAAGAAGTGGGTATCAAACCGCCAAACGTGTGATTAGTGGACAACCTGCTCTAGCACCCTGATCCTCAGCCACTCTACACTGTCCTATCTCATTAGTCATCCTAATGACTTTCCTCTAGTGGCCACCTTGAGGTTGACACTTTCACTCGAGTCAAATGCCTTAATAATTGTTGACTGGATTATCATGAAATTTAGTGAGACATTCATACCACCCGCAGGATGAACTGTAATAACTTTGGTGATGATTTTATCTAGTGCCACCATCTGTTCAAATTTTTAATTCATCCAATATTTTTGTATTTTTTTGAAAACTAACTGACATTCCCATCATCCTCAGCTGTATTTGGTGTTTAGTGCTAATTAGCAAATGTTAGCTTGCTAACAGATACATTATACCTACTGAACATTAACATGTCAGCATTGTCATTGTGAGCATGTTAGCTTACTGACGCATATTGATACTGATCAATTAGCTCAAAGCACTGCTGTGTGTGAACACAGCCTTACAGACCAGCTAGCATGGCTGTAGTCTTGTTTCACCCACATTACCAAGCTCAAATATGTGTGGCAGTGGGAAAATTATGCCACTTGAAAAGTGTCATCTGGTTTGATCTTTCCTTAAACCTCAGAGACTTGGGCTTTAGAGTTGCAACATGTGAAGATGAGCCATTTAAAACTTATTTTAATGTCAGATGTTTAGGAAGAGAAATGTGCTCAAACAACAATCCTTTAGAAAATGCATGCTCATGAAGGTGCAGCACTCTAAAGTACAGTATGTTCAAATGATAATGAGTCATAATCCCTCCACTGCTCTGTGTTTAAATTGGTCCACTTATAATCATATTTTTTGTACTATAACTCTAACAACCACAGTAACAAAGCTCAGTGTTCATGTCCGAGGTAAGCGAGGACAGTGTTCGGAGGTGCTTCCACACCCACGTTGGTCTAAACGCTCTTCCTGTGGTTTTCAAAGCAACAAAAATATCCTATGGAGGTGCAGGGTTCCTTTTTTCTTTTCATTTCTTTTCTTTTCTTTCCTTTTCCACCCTGTTTTTCAGCTTTTTCCTCCAATAACACTGTCAAACCCTCTATCACTCATCCCCTCTTTCCATTTCTCTGATAAGACTGATCATTTCATTTGCATTCTAAAGGTTCCGCTGAACCTTTTTAAGATTAATGAGACAACCCTTCACCTAGACCTACTACTCTCCTGCTCTGTCCTCTACTCACACCATATACATCCTCTTTCCTTTCCTGTCTTCATGTAGTTTTTGCCGTCTGTTTAGGAGTTTTCATTTTATGACACAACATGCTGCATGGCTTTTCATGGCTTTAAACTGGATGTGTCCTTTTTGTTGGGCGCACACAGGTGTATTAGCCTGCACCTGCCTGGTATTCTGGTGACTCTTTGTGAACTTGACTGTGTCAGAGTGAGAAGGAGGCACAGTAGGAGCTGTGTCATAGTGATTAAGTAGTGGTGCAATGCGTCTCTTCTACATACTTCAGTGTCTTTATCAAATGACACACACCTAACAGATCCCAGTCAGAACTTTGCCTTACTGTTTTGTGTTTTTTAGGTAAATTGTATTTCTTTGAAATACAGAAAATCTCTGCAGCAGCACAACTGAAAAGGAAATTACCAAAAATCTGTGATGATGGCAGATGCACCAGCACCACGTGCCATTAATACACAAAGCCAACTTTGTGTCAGAGCAAAAGAAGATTGTCTATGTGAGTGTTTGGGGTCAGTGTTAACCTGAATAAAAATCTGAATATCAAAAGGTGTGTTGTGGTGAATAGATGATAATGATGGGGTTCCTGTTTACTTTTAACATTGCGCCTCATAGAGACACACATACACACACAAGCGTGCGTTTGAGATCTTTGAACTTTTTATAATGGTTGCTTGTCTTCAAAATTACAGCACGCTATTGATGTGGAAAGTGTGTTTTTGTCTAAGTCTGCAAGTGTGGTGTATGTGTGGAGCGCCATTAGGTTAGAAGCACTGGCTGAGTTTCTCCCATCTCTGTGGAACCATGAATAGGTAAAAGCTACAGCAGTTTGAGACATAAGTTTTGCATAGATCAAAACAACATCATAGAAATTCTACAGTTTATTGTAGCTTCATTTTGCACAACTGTGTGATGTCTGAAGAGATGCTCAAAAAAAGGAAACCTTCAGATATAGAAACTGAGACTGAAAATCAGATAATCTGATAATCCAGTGAAATTTCTGCTGTAGTCCATAGCAAATAAATTTAAAAGAGCTTTTTGTAAGTTTTGTTATTGCTACATAGACATTAGCATTAACAGCTGTTTACTTACCACTCTAGAAGAAAGATTGTGAGTTGCACATCAAATTCAATTCCTTTACTTGCTTTCTGCAGCGGTGGAAAGCAACAACTATGTTAGCTCTTTTTTTTGCTTCTATTGCTATCACCTCTTTTCTTGTACTGATGTTAGCATGCTAGCTATTTATCTCCTAGCTAGTTATCCCTGGACAACAATGTCCGGGGCTCTTGGTATAGTAGTAGGTAAACAGCAACGTATGTAGCAATATATTCTGCCAATTAATTTCTTGATTAATCAATTTTTTTGTCTATACAATGTCGAATGAAGTTGATGTCTTCCAATGTCTTGCTTTGTTTTGTCCGATTAACAGTCCAAAACCCAAAGACATTCCTTTTATAGTGAAACAAAATAAAGGCTGCAAATTCTCACATTAGAGAAGCTTGAGCCTGAGGAGGCCTGGAGCTTTTCTGTGAAAAATTACTTAAATTAATCATTTATCAAATATTTCCTAATTAATTTTCTGTTGACCTGACAGATCATTCGACGTATTGTTTCAGGCCTTAATGTCAGTGATATTACAAGAAATGCTCATATCAAGTTGTAAAATTGATACTAGCAGTGACTGTGGCTTACAAACCTGCTTGACTGTGAGCCATTAGAAAGTCTTACCTCATACACAGGGGCCTTTTGTCAAATATTGCCACTACTTACAACAAATTGCCAATTTGGCAGTGCAAAGACATTATATACTGTATGTTTCTGTTAAAAAAAACTCAGACCTTACATGATCTACACCTGAATAGTTTACATTGACAGTACAAAACCGACTACTGTACCAAGGCTAGATTACAAATACTCACACTAGCCATCACAGTGCAGTGGTGCTTCATATGCACCTACTGCCTTGTTCAGTTACAGTGTGGTGCGGTTCAGCTCTTCAGGTCAGACAGAGAAATAATCAGTAGACAGGCCTTAGAGTAGTCAAACTTTGTTTTAGTGCTTATCTCCTACTGCAATCACAACAGGGGATGTAAATCTGGTATTTTCCTTTGAATGTTAAGTTGCCGCTGAGTATGTGTGCATGCGTGTCATCAGATATGAATGTATGTGAGCGCCAGAAAGTTAAGACCATTTGAAAGTCATTTGACTAACTTTTCCATGATTTAAGAACACTTTGACACTATCTGAATGATCCTGATCTGATAATTTCAGCTCTCCAGGTGCTCCACGTAGATTAAAACAAACACTGTCTTATTGCAGTCTTTATCTCCATGCATGGAATGAATACAGTTTGTGTGTTGGACCAAGTGAAACGTTTTTTTCAATTCTCATTAGAAATCTCAAGACAGATTCTCAACATGAGAA